CAGAAATAATCATATCAGCAGTGTGTGGAGGTGTTTATTCCTTTCAGACAACGCATGACTGCGTATTTTCAGAGATGGCCTGGTGCTCTTAAGGTAGGTTCATCCTTCAACTTTGGCTGACTGGTGTTCTGCTTTTGACTGCACTCCAGGAAAACATCAGTGGCAGCGCCACAGTTATCCCAAAGGCAGCTCCAGAGGCAGCACCCTTGGCTGAGTAGACAAGTTGATACAGCCTCATGACACAGCGTCATGTCATGAGGCTAAAGGGCCACCACTGTGCCCAAATCTGAGCAAAAAGCAAGCTGATATGCGTAAGAAAATGCGAGAGGACGGTATGGCCAATCGGGCTGTTCTGCTATAGGTCCTTTGATCTGTTCAACATTTTTTCATGAATGTAACGCATATGTTCACACACGTCTTCTTTTTAGGAGGAAAGAGAACAAGAAGCAAAGAAGGTGATTGAGAAGAGTGAGAGAAAAAAACGGTCCTAAAGATTCTAAGATCATGAAGAGGCCAGCAGCAGCTGCGAAGCAGAAACCAGAGAAGGCAAAGGAGACAAACGAATTGAAGGAGGAATCAGCTGTGGTTGAAGTTGCCAGCGAAAACGCTGAGACAACGGAGGGCCTACCAAAGCGTGCATCGAAGACAAAACCTCGAAAGGCGGTGGCAGTGAAGGAGCCTGCTGCTATGTCTGGTAAGGGTGGAGCCACAGCTGGTTCTAAGCCAGCTGGGGGTTCAGAGGAGCGCAAGGAACGGCGCAAACGAGATGCAGATCTTGCATTTGGAGACTTGCAGGATCTCAACATAGATGGCCTGACCTTGCCAGATGGTGGCTTGGGTGACCGTGTGTCCTTCACTTGCCAGGGTCCAGCTGAAGGTGGAAGCATCAATGTGGTTCTCTACAGCCGTGCCTTCTTTGTTCGCAAAGTAATGGTTGACATTCCGGCTGAATGGAATCTGCAGGAGCTATTCGATCTTTTGGTTGAGGGTTGCAGTTGTAACATCTATCATGCATTGTTTGTGCGTTGGGGCCCGGGGAGTCTTTCCACCTGCCCTGCAGGCTATCCAGGCAGGAGGCGTCACAATTCCGTGGAATCGAAATCCGGATGGAGTGGCGGGTGCCTTCTACCAAGCCAAATGTCTGGCCGGTTGGGAGAAGATCCAACCCAGGACTGAGATGCGGCCCCAAACCCTAGAGTGCTTTGCTGTCAACTTGTTTTATTGGACTTCACGAGTGGTTGTCTGCGAGCAGGAGGAAGCGTGTAAAGCGTGCGTGAGGGCCGGATGCACTTTGCGCCTAGTGCGTGTGATGTGGGTCTCTGGATTCTTCAATCCAGACCATTGCAATTTGGTTCACCACCCTATCAGCGTTTTGGCATAGAGCCTACCAGCTTTTTGGGCCGCCCGCATGTTTAGTTTGAGGGCTCCACCTGAATCGGTTTTGAGAAGTTTGTGAGATTAAAGTACTGCACATAGACCAGTGGAGCCACTAGTTTCGCGTGCGCTGGTACAGCTGGCGTGCTGAATGTGCAAGTCTTGACAAACAAGCACTCGTGTAGAAAAAACTGCGCCTGATGTCTAGTTGTGACTAGTCTTTGCTTTTGAGCACCAACTTCTGAGTCATGGGAAATCCAGCTAAACAACCATCGAGTATGTATGGATATTGCCCAGGGGCTGGGTTCAAGTGCATGTCGAGTGGCAATTTTCCGCTGGGTTTCAGTTTTAGAGCTGATTTTGAGAAGTGTCCTGGAGAACCTTTTTTTGATCTAAAAAACGGGTCCCCAGGACACTTTCAAAAAGTGAGCCTAAAGTAGAAAACTACGCATGTCGAGCCTTCCGTCTGGAGGTGCTTCTTTCTCGGCTTCAGCTGGATCCTGCAGCCGAGCAGGTGGGATTCCGGAATCATGCGGTGTATGCTGCCTAGCAATTTTCCACTTTGATTGACCATCGGACCATCACCATAATCCCTCTCGGGCAACCCAAGAGTAACGCTGGAGATCGATATATTTGTAGGCGTGAGTGAAAGGGGTCTGCCCAGTAAAGCAACCATGTAAAACATGCACTGCAACAAATGGCACAGGTTGTGATCTGGGAGTCGCTAGAAGCCGGACGGACCTAAATATGGATGTGGCCAGGTGTGAAGCATATCCACGGCAAAGACACCGATGGCTCCAACAGTACGCTCTGCCTGCCTCCCACGAGCGACGGGCGACGGGAACGATCGATGTCATTTTGGGAATTGTCTTTTTATGATGAAATCCTTGAACCTAGAAGTATCCCTGGGTATGTGTTCGGGGTTTTGTATATCGGAGACAAAATCCAGTGATCCACCAAGCCAGCAATACTTTACTGGCAGGGGATGTGTCCAACCAAGAGAGGTCAACTGGACCCGAACAGTAGGACCTGTTTTTGTGTCGCTTCGTTGGGAAGCAAACATTCAAGAACCACTGATGCAACTTCGGCTCTGACTAGATCATTTCAAGATCCTAGAGCTCATTGCAGGCTCTACTACACGCAATAACTTTCTCATGAGGTAGGGCCCAGCAATATACTGGAAGAACGTGCCACGCACTGCCACTCACGCTGTGCCCGCAGACCACCGGATCGGTTAGCTTTTCGTCCTTCAGAAGCACCATGAAGCGATCCGTGCTCCTGAGCTCACTGCAAGTATGTGCACTGTTGTGCCTCGGGTGCCCCCCAGTCTTGTGTCTAAGCTGAATTGTGTAATAGCATACGATTCTTGACGCTTCCAAGCTGATAGCACAACGTGCAAACCCTGAACCCTCCGTACTCGTATACCGGAGCTCGTGGTGCCCTCGAACTGCAATCTAAGTATTCATGCGGTGGACTTCGTCGGTCAGACTATGGATTCAGAGCGGATGTCAAGGGACAGCCTACTGATCGGTTTACGCCCGTTGCCCGCGCATCGCATATTCTTAGAGTACTAGCACATGTCATGTACATGGCCTCAGTTTCTGGTTGGACAGACGTCCACTAGTTCTTGCAAAAGAATGTCTTGTCTTGCAGGACCTAACGGCCTTGGAATACTTTTCCGGGGTGGAGAGCATCGTCTGTGCTTTCAGTCCTGCCCTCAACTTTCCCTTAAGATATCTTAAGATGCAACGGTTGCCCAGGTCGCTATCTATAGTTAGATGCTTCGCTAATAAAGTTGGCTTCAGGAGAACATGGATTATTTTCGTGACTTGGCATTGTGGGGGCAGGGGGCAGTTGCCGCCGTCGAAGTTCCCATCACAGGTGACAAGTTTCTTCTTGCTTGCCCAAATCAATACGCAAGAAACCGACTGACCAAAGTGGACAATTGCCGTTAGTTTGCCTCTGAGTTTGCTGGTTTTGCCACGCGCGCGCGCCTTCCAAGGCAAGGCGTGGACATAGAGAAGGACATGGCCTTGCACAATCTAGCTACGGTGATGGGATTGCTGTGGGGCATACGGCAAATCCTACGTGTGGTGGAAGGTGGGTTGGCGACTTTTGCACTGCCCTGCAACAGCTGGATCTTTATGTCCTCTTCCCAGCACCAGCGGACCCTAGAGAAACCATGGGGGAATTTGAGTTTCCCATTTGTGCATACGGGGAACTTGTTGTCCACCCGTGGGTCACTTCTGTGGGCATTGGCTATGTGCCGGTCAGTTGTGACTTTGATTGAGAACCCGCACCGGAGCAAACTGGTGTTCCACCCGTTCATTGAGCATTTCCGCAGCTTCATGGAATTGGGAATCTTTGAGGTGAAGTGGTCCCTCAGCCTTGGCGCAAAGAAGAGTGTTCTCATTTTGGGGATGTGTTGTTAAGTTCTTGCACAGCTGCTCTAGTTTTGGTGTCTAGCCTTCTCAGGTTCATGGGTCTTTATGGTGGATTCTGCCAAAAGCCAGAGCTAGGAATTGGCAATGCGTGTCTTGTCTGCATGAGCATGCTCCTTAAACTGCTCCACCCACCGGTCACCCACCTCTTTTCAATTCAGGTTGGGCCTCGTCATGTTGGCGCTCGAATTGTTTTATCATGGCCTCTCCAAGAGCTGTCAAAAGGCCTCATAGGACGATGCGCCCTACAAGTGGAGGGTGCATGGGCTAACTTTTCCACTTGGATTGGCCTGTGAAAGAAGACCCCCACAAGTCCGGTTTCCCCCCCTTCAAAACCTGCATTTCAAGCAGGTCGAACCGGACTTGTGGGGGTCTTTTTTTTGCAGGCCAATCCAGTGGAAAATTACACCCTATAAGGCTTTTAGACCTTCGCTGGCTTGCAACACGAACCAACACACCCTAAACGGCATTTCAGGGAAGCGCCCTTTTTTTGCCTCAAACTAGTTTGTAAACGATTGAAAAAGGCGCGGTCCGTTGGCCTTTCTTGGTTTAAAGCTAGTTAGGGCCGCTGTTGGTACCACATCTATTCTCCAATTAGGGGCCTTTTTGGTTGTGATCCCGTTGCCACCAAAACGATCCAAAGGGGCCCCTGTGCATCTCAGGCCATGGATGTCAACCCTGTGGGATGGCTGTGCATTGACGCCTGCTCACAAACAACAAATCAAAGACCGAGCTGAACGACTGGGTGTGAAGATTGTCAAGACGGGGTTGAAGAAAGATGGATCTAAGAAGCAGGTGTAGCTTGCATGCACTGGGTCACCAGGTCAGTACAGGTGATAGAGGGTGTGGAGCTGTGCATGCAAAACTTGCTCTTGCACGAGGACAGGGGCCAAAGACCTACGCCGCAGTGGAGCTTTTCCAAAAGACTTTGGTAGGGCGGTCGCGTCCAAGCACATGGAGTGGATGGACATTTGTCTTAGCTAGCTTGCGTTCCAAAATGCACCCCTTTGAATCCTAAACTGATTCCCTGGTCGCCGAGGACACCCACAGCGATGATTTACGCAAAGCCCTTCCTGACCTCCGGAGTATGGTGAACAATGGATTCAAGGACCTAATAACCTTTTCAGGATTCATTGACCCCTCTTACACCACCCTCTAGTCACCCTTTTATATGGTCGAAGGTGGTCAATAGATCAGCCCTGGCACCTTTCTTCCATCCACCTGCCTGAAGAGCCCACGCGCCTGAAGCGCCCTTCCGCCAGGAGCTTCCGCCAATGGCTGATTGGAAGCATGCGCGCCTTGAGGAGTTGGTGGATTTCATGAAGCGGGCTGTTGCGTGTAAGCTTTACAAGCCAGATCCACTCATCCCCATTCAAATCCAGCCGTCTCCAGAAATTTTTGGGCAGGTGTATACTAGGGATATGTGGACGGGTTCTGCAAGCTGTAAAGAGTAAGATCTCGAGACCAACCAGAGATAATTCGGTGGTGGGTTTGTATTGCGCCTAGGGGTGCAAAACAATTTTTCCCACATACTTTGGAACCTCAAAAGTGGGAGTGCAGTGTGTTTCCCCGCTTGGTGAGGCAAAATTAAATCAGACTCTGCAAGTCTGCAAACACAATCGACTAAAAAATCGTTCTGCGGACCAGGGCAGGGTGAGTGTGTGACATGTGTAGTACTGAAGGGGAACGTTGGTGGATCTTACGCAGCCATCTCCGGGAACCTGCTGCTAGCATCACTAGGGGTGTGATCATCCAGCGGGAGGCCAGGATTTCCGCGGGACTGGGGGGAGGTCAGCAGTGCAACATGCCACCACGCCAACGAAACTACAATTTCATAGCTAGGTGGTTTTGCACCGTCAACATTTTTTCAGCCCAAACAAACAGAGTTACCGAGGGCCATCTTTGGTGGAAAAGGGGTTTTGGACTGTACTTGGGCCTAGCCTTCATAGCAGCGTTGGTGCACGGAGTGATCTGTACTGTGGTTTCGGGCATCCCTACAAAACGTGGAAATTTGCAAATGGGCATAGCCTGAGCTTAACATGTATCAGCCATTGCCAAGTCTTTGCAGGTATTGATGCCAGATACACCAGCCAACTCAATTGCGTGTGCGTGCTGGACAGTTTGACGCACACGAAACATCGAAGCTGGGTCGTCGAAGCAGGCTGCCACGCCTGTAAGCTCACAGTTCGTAACTTTGAAGTTGAGTCTCCTCGCCCAGCTTGTCCTGAAAACTCAGCGTGGCATGGCTGATCTCATCGCGGCTGGTATCACGCAAGCCTGGGATGGTCGCCGTCCTGAACTGTGGCAAGGACAGCAGATCCTTTAACGGACATCCTTGTTCGATGCCAAACTTGGCGGATCTCACGAAATGACGCGCCCACATTGGACTGGATGTCGTACGCAGTCCTTGGCAGAGAGACATCCGATGTCGCCGTTCTCGGACGTTCAGGAAACTGCATCCTTTTCCAGCTTCTTGAGCCTCTGCTTGTACACTGAAAGGCCACCTGGGACCACCACGTACATAAGTTGCCAGTCCGAATGGAACTCAATGCTCTCATTGCCTTTGTCGCCCTTTTGCAGCATCACCATGACTAGTACAGCCAAGGCCGTATATGGGTTTGGCTGGAAACCCTGGTATTGTTCGGAGCTGCAGGCAGTGATCCACTCCCCATGAATCAAACAATTTGCTCAGCCAACTTGACACGACTGACCTTGATAGGCCCCCATGACATGTCCCTCACATCAAAACAAAGCTGTTCATCACGTTTCCACACGTTTCCTCGCTATTTCACACGAATCTGACACGTCATGCTTCCATCAACACGCCCATTAGAGTGCACAGCAGAGCACAAACATGCAAACCCGCCATTCAGGGTGCACCGCAAAGCACGAACGCACCAGTCTGGAGCAGTGTGCAGGGTCAAGCCATCCAGAGTAGATTGAACGGGGCTCTTTTCGCGTTTAGAGTGTGTTAAACGGTGGGACTGGGGGTCGGACCAATTTTTCCACTGCGTTAA